TGAGGCTTCCTTATGGTTCTCCAGCCAGCTGAACCACTCATGGGGAAGGAACATGCCAAGTGGCTTGCTGGTCATGTACCAGCCTTCAGAGCTCCTAGCTTGGATTGGAAGCTCGACAATGTAAGGCTGTGGCACACCAAGCTCAGCAGACTCACAGAACCTCCTGGTCATTTGGGTGGCCACATGGTTCTCAGACCTGCCATAGTTTCCCATGCTTGCTATTTCCTGTACATCTTGGGCCACCACACCACTCTTTGTAGCAGCCAAAGCAATGCTTTGGATGGCTGGCCCCTTGGAGGAGTAAACAAGACAAAAAACCAGTTAGCACAAACATGCAATCTGCAGGCAAGGAACAGACACACCATTGGCAAATTGCTCCAATAGGGAGAAACCAAGTGGTGAGAGCTCTTCCTGACACTTCTCTGGTTCAGGGTCATGTCCCCTTTTCCTTTTCCATTTTGCCATGACTCACTGGAGCCATTGTGCAGGGCCCTGCATTGAGAAAGAGCCCTTGCTCAGGACCCAGATGGAATGCAACAGCAATTGAAAAAGGGCTACCCAATCAAAGGTAAACTTGATGCACATACAGTGAAAGCACATGCCCAACCCTGGAGGTTTGCCAGTGACTGCCAGTGAGCTTTTTGCCACGCAAGCCACTTGAGTTTTCAGCCCTTGCGCAGGACCCTTCTTTACACATCCCTTGCTCAGGAATCCTCTCCCTGCAGCCTTTTGGTCTTTTTGATGGCAAGTGCACAGTCAAACAGCTTCTTCTTGGCCACCTCTGCAGATGCCTTCTTCTTCAGAAGTGCCTTGAGTGCTGACTCAGGCTCCCTGAGGCAAGCATCATGGCTGCTGCCAACTTCTTTCCTCACCTTTTGCAGGAGCTTCAGCATCTTGGACACCCTGACTTTGCATTCCTGGAATGCAGGTGTGCCTCCCATGTCACTGAGCACATCTGCCTCCACCTCATCAGCATCCTGCTTCTTCTTCTTCTTCTTGGAGCTTGCTGGCTTTGCTGGGCTCTCATCTTCACTTTCTTTTGCATTGCCATCTTCGATGGCCAAAGCTGCCTTGCCCTTCCTGCCACACACAGCCTCCAAGGCCTCTGTGGCATTACCTTCTTGTGTCCCAACACCAGCAGCAGCTTTGAGCTTCATCCAAGAGACAGCTTCCTGCTTTCCAACTTGGTGCCCTTTGTGCTCATGCTTGGTTTCAGTCTGCTCCCATTTTTGCTCCTTCTTCAAGCAGAACTGCCACTCAGAAGTGTCCTCTGGATCCCTCCTGCGTACAATGCTACCCTTGTTCACCTCAGATGCAGACAGGGATACTTGGTGCATGAATAGGAAAGTCAGCAGCAAGTGCTAGGACTGTGACCCTGCGCATTGCTTCCTGAAGCCCAAAGCGGAGCAGTATGGTCTGGAAAGGCACCCATGACTCAGAAGTCTTGGAGCCTTAGTGGGGCAATTGTCAAAACAGTGGTGGCCAAACAAGCAAAAGTTGAGCAAAAGCACAGGTCTCTTGGACACATATGCTTTTGATCAACT